GATTTGCATTTATATCTCTAAAATGGTCTATGTGCTATTTGTATACAGCAATCTTTTGTTTCAAGGCATTTAGCTGTCATCAGTTAGGACAGGGTGGTTTAGCATGAAAAATAGGTGTCTGAAGGGTTGTGTGAGTACAACTTCAGAAGTTATTTTTGAGACTTTGACTACTGTCCGCAGAAATCCGTAATGGCTTGCAAAATGTTACAGAACAGCATGACTTTATTGGAATGGTCACGGCAGAGTTGTAAGAAATTTGATTCATTGGCTAACACCAGGATCAGTCTGTTTAGCTTTCAGATCAGTCTGATTAGCTGTCTTCTGGCATAACTTGGAAATAATCTTCTAAGCTGTTTTTATCAAGAGTCAACCTTCTTCTAGTATTGTTATTTTATTACAGTCCAACTGGAGCTCCTCTTTTATCCTCCCTTTCTTCTTTTCTAACATAAAATTAACCTATTTTTTAATGTACATGCAATCTATAATCTCCATTAGAAGACAAACAGGTCAAAAGAGAAGCAACTCTGAATACTTACTATTTGTCAACTAATGCATATCTAGGTAAGGCAATCTGATAACTAAAACTCATCTTAAATTTGGCTTCCAGGCTAGCACTCGGGGAAGGAATTTTTGGATGTCTTTTGCTCTCTTTTGAATCTTTGCCAATTTTGATGATGATATTTCCAAAGTCATATTTGGTTTCTTTAAGAATACCTTTCTTCCCTAATTTACTTTAAATCCATAAGATATTTTGTTTTCCTCTTTTGGAAATGGAGAAAAAAGAGGTAACTTATTTTACTCCAAACGTCTCTCATATATGTAACACAATTACTTTTGCCTCAGTCTTAATATTTAAGGGAAATAATGACACACAGCAAAACCCAAGAATATAAACATAAGGAAACCAGTCAACAACCTTTAAATCTTTGGACAGGCCCTGGGAGCACTGTTTTCTCTTCCATGCTGGGAGCAGGAAGAATGCAGCTTTCCCCTAGAACAATGACAGTTTGGTTGTGCCCACCTACTACAAACAAAAGATAAGAGCTATACAATAACAAAATGCTAGTTTACTTCGGCTCCACCATGCTGTTGGAGAGAACCAGCAGTTACTTGAGATAATATTTTCAAGGAAAAGTTAATCTAGTTGATAACAAAACTTCCTTTAAGAGAATTCGAGTCAGGAACTCTCTTCTGTGTTCATCCCTACGGTTGCAATGCAGCATTTTTTTGAAGGCTTTGGTCAGAGCTGGGCTGTGATCTTTCCATTTCTGAGCTCTCCTGAGAAGTTCCAGCTGCTTCAGCTCTGAGAGACTTCTGGGTCATTTCTAATCCAAGTTTTCATTTACTAAGAGTAATTATAAACTGCCAAAAAGTAAATGTCCTTAAGTCGGTACTTGAGCAAATCAGTAAGGAAACCAGCAACAAATACAAGGAATGGGTACCATCCCACTCTTTCATAGCCGATTATCTGGATTAAACCCCACTTTGTATGTGCTACTTGAACCTGTGTTTCCCGGGTTGACCAAACCGACTAAAGAGCATGCCGTTGGGGCAACACAGGCAGACATTCTCTCAGCTTTGCTCCCCCAAAAGCCTGGCAATGAAGCAAACAGGGAAAAGTCTTCCTAAGCCCTTGAAAATGAGATTCCTCTACATCAGATGGCCTGGAGCCGTTCAGTTTTTCAGAACAGCCTCTTGTGAAGAAACCCGTTACCTCCAGAGCATTTGCATGGGAGGTTACCAGTCTGAACAGGTAGGTGATTTCCTTCAGCAGTAGTCGTTGCCATGCGGTGACAGAAGAAAATTCCTGGAACTCCCCAGCGTTCAAAGGCAGATTCACAAAGTTTATGAACCCCGGTTTGAAAGCACACCAAAAACCAGAATCCCGCCCTTGGCAGGGCTCCAAGGGAGGAACTGAGCAGCCAGAGATGCTTTAACCGAGGTGTGTATCTAGAGCAAGATGAGGATGGGCTACATTCTGCTTTGCTCTAAACAGAAGCAGCATGTGAACTCAGCACCGTTTGAGCCTTGGCCGTGTTTACGGACAACGTGGTCTAGGAGTCCGCCTCGCTGCCAGGCCAGCCGGCTATTCAGGCATGGGCTGTGGTGTATGAATGGAAGCATTCACTGCTTTCCTCTTCTCATGCTTCTCTAAGCCTCAAGGCCTTGATCCTGTGCTGCCGCCCCTTAGCCTGAGCAGAGGAAGAGGCTGCCTCTGTACGCATTCCCCTCTACTCTAGTTCCCTTGCAAAACAGAAAGGAAGATTCAAAGCAACGTGAAGAGCACTCATCTGAAGAAAACCACCATTAGCCATAATAAAGTCCAGTGTATCTCCAATTCACCGAGCTATCTGCAACTGTGCAGAAAGTCCTGATAAGATAATCCTCACTCCAGTTCAGGGAAAAAAAGACCTTGCATGCATCAGATTTACTTCAGCCAGTTCATTTTCAAGGACCTGAGTATGTACTGCACACGGAGTCCTTCCCACGTAGTCTGAACCTATTAACTGCTCTTTAATGTCAGACATAATCTAGGTTAAAACCCACAAAAACTCTCTCTTCTGAACTCACATGTGACCACATCAAGAGACTCTACTTAGGCTGAGGATTATTAAGCCTGTTGGACAGGTTGTAACAGCTGGCTTCCCTGCAGGGCCTCACAACATCACGACAGCAATTTTATGCAGAACGTTTTCTGGTGATTTCTAATGATTTTCTGCATAAAGCAGACTATTCCTCTAGACCCTTGTTTCCTAATAGCAGGAACCACCATTTCTGCTCAGCTAAATTTCATACGCAACCCTCCACCCCCACACCAGTTCCCTACCAGAATAGCTGCTGCAACGCTTTGACATCTGACACTGAGGAAAAGGCTTCTGAGAGCGAGTCTCCTGCGGCAACGTGAGGACCTGCCGCTGGCTTCAGCAGAGTCAGGGTGTGCAGTCTGCAGAGCATTACTGCTTTTCTTTGAGCCGCCTTCTTTGTATACGTTTCTGTAGCCAGACACATAGCTCTGTGTGTGTAGAGATGACAGATGTGTTTATATTGCTTTATAGGTGGAACAGTGTGTAGAATTATGTTTTTGCCAGATGAGAGTCAAATGCTAAAGTAGATGTTCACAGACTTAGCTCCAATAAAATACCTCGTAAAAATTGTTCCAATGTACAGAAAACCATTTTCCATGACAAACTCTTAAGTGCATATTGTACTGCTGACAGTAAGGTGCTTACAATGAGAAAACAGGATATGCTGAAAGTCATAGAATCATAGAATCGCAGACTGGTTTGGGTTGAGGGGACCTTAAAGGCCATCTAGTCCCACCCCCCCTGCCATGGGCAGCGACACCTTCCACTAGACCAGGTTGCTCCAAGCCTCATCCAGCCTGGCCTTGGACACTTCCAGGGATAGGGCATCCACAGCTTCTCTTGTCAAGCTGCCCGAGTGCCTCACCACCCACTCTGGGAAGACTTTCTTCCTGATACCCAATCTAAATCTCCCTGCTTTCAATTTAAACCTGTTACCCCTTGTCCTGTCACTACAGGCCCTTGTAAAAAGTCCCCCCCAGCTTCCTTGTAGCCCCTTCAGGCACTGGAAGGTGCAATAAGGTCTCCCCAGAGCCTTCTCTTCTCCAGGCTGAACAAGCCCAACTCTCTCAGCCTGTCCCCACAGCAGAGGGGCTCCAGCCCTCTGAGCATCTTCATGGCCTCCTCTGGACTCACTCCAACTGGTCGATACCCTCCTTGAGGGCTCCACAGCTGGATGCAGAACTGCAGGTGAGGTCTCACCAGAGCAGAGTAGAGGGGCAGAATCCCCTCCCTCGACCTGCTGGCCACACTTCTCTGGATACAGCCCAGGATATGGTTGGCTTTCTGGGCTGCCAGCGCACGCTGCCGGCTCACGTTCAGGTTCTCATTCACCAGTACCCCCAAGTCCTTCTCCTCAGGGCTGCTCTCGATCCATCCTCTACCCAGCCTGTACTTGTGCTTGGGATTGCCCCGACCCATGTGCAGGACCTTGCCCTTGGCCTTGTTGAACTCCATGAGGCTGGCACAGCCCCACCTCTCCAGCCTGTCCAGGTCCTTCTGGATGACATCCCTTCCCACCAGTGTGTGTGAACCGCACCACACAGCTTGGTGTCATCAGCAAACTTGCTGAGGGTAAAGTCAAATTCACTATATCAGGAAGAGAGAGTGAAACTCTGTTCCTTCCCCTGTTACTGGCAGTAGCACTTTCGTTTTTTTCTTTTTTATATTTTAGAGCCTGAACCAGTTCAATTTTCCCAAGTGACAGTTTGTTCTCTGTGATGAAAACCTGTTAAGGATTTTTGCCTGTAAGCTTTGAAGAAGGTACTTCTTAAATCTCTAAGTCCTGTGCCTGTAGCATGACACTTGTCACCGTTTTATTTATCTTAAGAAATGAGCAACAATTTTCAAAAGGGACAGTACAGATTATAAGGACAGCTTTGACAAGCCAGAGGAAAAATTATACTGGTTGAATGCTATGGAGGTTTGTAAGACTGCAGAGTACAAACTGTCATAACGCCAACTTAATGTAACTGTTTCCTTTATACCCCAAGGATTCACAAGGGACTTAACTGCTAGCATACAGGAAACAAAGTCTGTTGTGCTAGAACAAGACTTTGTTTCTTATAATTTAGAAAACTACACAAAGTTTCCTTACAGGAAATGTTACAATTCATACAAATTCCTATATTTATTTGTAGATAAAAATTGCCATTCACATAGCAGGAAAACTAGATGAAAACAGAGATAGCGCAGACTTCAGGCCATTATGGGGTACTGGTGAACAGACCTACATGATGGCAATAAATACAACTACAGAGAAATGTACTTAAATGTAGAGATACCTTTATTATTGTGTCCTTTTTCAGTACCAGCGAATTTCTTCATGGGAATTCTTGAAAATAAACTGTTACATGAATGCATTTCTTCAGTGAGGAGCTTGCAGAGTTTATTTTAGGTAAAGCCTGCCTTCTGTTGTTACACTATTCGACCAAGATATACTGACTTGGGATATTTTTCCTTTAGATCAGGCCACTGAACAATGAAGTAATCTGAAAAGTAGTAGAGAATCTTTCCAGACAGCGATAAAGTTTCCACACGGCAGATGCTCTCTACATACACAATGATTGCTCTCTTTATTCCTAGAAGCCCAAGAAGAAGAGCAGATACACAGACAGGAACACATGTTCCTGGTCCATTGCACAATATCTAAAAGAGATGAAACATTTTGAAAAAGTAAAACATGAGTTTTTTCATATGGTAAAGAGTTAAAACTGTGTGTATTCATATAACATTTACAAAAAAATTATTTCCAAAGGTATTTTAAAAAACAGAAGAGGCAAGGGAATATGAAAAAAAAAAAGGGAGGGGGTGTGAGGCAAACAAAAGACATTATTTCAAATTAGCTGCCAAAAAAGATCATCTTTCTTTACACATCAAGGAGAAGAGCTCTGAGACGGGACAGTTAATTTCTGTGAAGGGAACAGAATTCCTTGATTTGTGGGTATATAACTAAAACATCTTCCAATCTCAGTCACAGCTTTGTGTTGTATCAATCATGAGATTTGTTCACAGATTAAGGCATAATAAGGCCAAAGAAGTTTAATTAGGGTTATTAAACCTAGGATCCAGTTATAAACCTCTTGAACTTTGGCTTAAGTCAGCAAAACACTTAAGAGTTCAGCAAAAATATGCTGATGAATTAGGACCTTCATCAGAATTTACTATCTGATATGCATGACTGGATTTTTTTTTCTTTTAATAAACATCAGTGCATAGAAACAAGCATACAGAAGGAAGGTGTTTTAGTAAATGCATGTCATGTCCTTCTAGCAGAGGATCTCAAGCTCACTTATAAATGTTAACAGTAAAAGGAAGTGGTCTTTCAATTTTAGGCAATGGTAAACTGAAAAACAAATTGCTTAAAAGTAAAAGGTTTAAACTAGGGTATACTAGCCACGCTTCTTGGGTATCGAAATTGATTTCAGGCAAGGAATTTCTTACAAAATTTAACTACTACCATGTAATCAGCACTTTTCTGCACAGCTGGGGGTTATGTGGAAATAAAGAGTTCTTTTATAAAATCATGGCCCTATATCCTATAAACTCTTTTTTTTTTTTTTTTTTTCCCAAGTTCACCAGCTTCTGAAAGATACTATACAGGATGGGTGGGAAGAGAGTTTCTCTTTCAGGGCTGTAGCAAACGTTTCAGAATGTTTCATTCCCTGCTTTGTGGCAAGATCCCACTGATAAACTGGCTAATAGCACCTTGCCTCAGTTAGAAGCAGCAGCAGCTTTGGTGCTACTGAGTTCCAAACTCTCTCACCTATACTCAGAAAGATGGCCTCAGAAATCTAGTTTGGGGTTCTGATGACTGTAATACAGGGTTTTCTTATCTGAATCAACTCAGTGTAATACTGCATGCATAATTATTCTGATTTTATTGTTGATCTTAACTGAACTATTTATTCACACAAGACATACTGACATTTTCTAAAAGACCAGTACAAACAACATGCTGTACACTGTTTTAATCTTGAAGTTTTAGGCTGTCAACAGCCACTTGTAAAAGAAAACTGCAACAGCGTAATTCTTTTGTATTAGCAATTACATAGCTAAGCAGCAAAGCAAGTGAACATACCAACTTTGCATACTAGATTTTTGAAATGAGAGTAATATACTATGGTTTCAAATTTCCTACTGAACCTGATTTCAAGTAAATCCATGCTGGGACTTTAAAACCCATTCTACATTCTGCTGAGAATGAAGATCTGGTTTTTTTATACATTTGACTTGGCAAGGAAGGACATAAACCAACCACACATGCTGCCTTTTTAGCATTTCAAAGAAATTTTTGTATACCTGTGAACTAAATGGGGTATTTTGCCCTATTTCTTGACAAATACGATTATTTGCACTGATACTGATTGTCCTGGTACATGGCTACTAAGGCATGTTTAGTTATCTGTTTGTAATTGCTTATACTGCAGTAACAAAAGTTTAGACCTAGGAAACAACTTGGAGTGTTCCCCTGTGTTTGCAAGCAAAACCCATCAAGGTCCCTGCTGCAGAATCTGGGCTATTGCAGACAAATGCATTAGAAGCACCGAAACAGTCCAAAAAAGTTACTACTTCTTTTTGTGAGTTGAATGTTCAGTCTGACTATTAATTTCAGATTCAAAATTCAGCTTTAAGCAAACAGATAAAATGTGCATCACTGCTAAACAGAAACTCCACCTTCCCTTCCCTTTAGTAGAGCTACCTGGAGTACAAATAGTATCTTTATTGCTGCCTAAGCCCTTTTTCTGTTGCATTACAGTCCTCTTCCCTGTCCTTTCCTCAGTGTCTTCCACTTCGATGTTTCTCTGTACTCTACACAGCCCTCTGAGGTGTCTCCCACCCTTCCTCTCCTCCCTGGTTTTCTTTGTGATTTCTGGTATTCATCTCCCTCTGCATTCCTACCCCCAGCTGCCCTTCTACCCCTCTTCCGTGTGGACTCGTACTGGCTATGTGCTCTTTTAGCCCCCATCTACTGTGAAAGCTCAACCCAGTTGTCTAAAGCAAGGACAGGGTTTCACACTGATCTCTTACTTTGCACAGTCTGACACAAAAAATACCAATCACAGGTATGATTTAGGTCAGGTAGACATTCTAACTTTCTCATTAGCCCAGATGTTGAGAATTGTAGAACAAGTTTCATAAAAAGCTGAATTCTTAAAATCATGGTCTTTATTAAGCCACTGTACCACACACTTCATCCTACTTCCCCTGTATTAAACTTCGCTGGCAGGCCCAGTCTTTTTGGTATTTGGTATTCTTGTGCCTAGATGCACACACAAAGGCGAATGCTAGAATGAATTCCAAACTCAGTGTTCTCACCAAAGGTCATGTAATGAAACAACAGTAAATAGGTCTATTTGTGAATCTGTATGTAGCTCTAAAGGCTACAATGCATTGCTGTTACTACTTTGTCGAGGTGCAGAACAGAAAAGCAATAACCAGATTAAAATAATAATAAAATACTTTTACTATATCTAGGTTATGATATGCACTCAATTTATACCTTTTACTGACTGTTTACAACTTGTAAGCTGCTTCTCAGATGCCCACTGATTCATGGAAAAGTACTTGCATGCAGGAAAGATCAGGAAAATTATGGACTAGGCATCTCCAAAAAACCATGATCTAACTGCAACTCTCATATCCTCTGCTCTTTCCCCTTCCACACATACCTGTTCAAACAAGACAAAGCAGATGTGGCTCTATAGGATCACCATATGCAAAATGCCCCTAAGAATACTCTGACTATAAATGTTCCTATTCTAAAATGCTCGGGTTTAGAACTGTCCCCTGAAAGAGACTCTGGTATAAACCTGCTGAAGCCAACAGACAGATAGATCCATATCTGAATTTAGGGTCGTGACCTGTAAATCAGAACTATTAATCATCCTTTCTGGTAATCAAAAATTAACATTCAGTTAACTTTCAGTGCATGTCCAGAGACATGTTGTACCTAGAACTGGTGCAGTTGCTCACGTGTTGGAGTGGCAATTCTAGTCCAAAAATCTGGTCTGACCAGTCCTACTTACTCCTCTCACACAGTAACAAGTGCTCCTGCTACTTGGAATCCAACATCATACATTCATCAAGGGATACAGGGGAAACTTCCGAGAAAACAAGTATGCACATTATAGAGAAGAGAAACGTTGCACAATCTATAAGGTAGAAATGCTGCTGTTCAGCTCCTGACAGCACATGAAATTGTTGATGGTGGAAAGGAACTGAATCCTTTCTGAAACATGTGAGAGAAGATGAGCTTTCCTACTACTGATTTTCAAAACACTTCAAAATAAATTTTGGAGAATGATTGATGTTTTCCACCTTGAAAAGACCAATGCTTTTGTTTTCCTCCTCCAGCAGAATACAAGTATCTCTCAGGGAATCCAGTGGCAACCATTAGTATGCTGTGGAGAAGAAGCAGGTGTCTACAGGGCAAGAAAGGACCAGGGCCTCTACATGGTCAACTGGCTATTCAGGGTGTGTTTCTCAATACCTGTTTACTTTAGCTACAAGGCTGCCTGTAGAATATTTGCATTGCATGAGCTATGTCTCTGAAGATCCCTAGTTTATTTGGTTTAGCCTTCCTCGGTGACCCAGCAGCAAGGGGGAAAAAGGGGCCAAAGACAATTTTTGTGTCACCTTTGTGACCTCTTGAGCTGCAACTGCCCAAGGACTTTCTTGGTCGCTGGGCTATCTGACTTTGCTGCCAACAAGCTGTAATCTTGAAGCCAGTGCTGCAGGTCTCTACACCATTTACATTCGCCTCTAATGCAAAGAATTGTCCAACTAACTGTTAAACTGGCTCACTGGCTGCCTGGCTTCACAGCTAGACCTATAAACTAAATCCTACATACTAAAATCCTCTACCAATTCAATGTGACCAGGCTTTTAAACAGTACAATGAACTAATCAATCTCTATATTAATGGAGGTTTAAAAGCAAAGGATGAGAATAGCAATTTCATACTTAACAACTCCCTCTATAAATCTAATTCTGTATTAATCACTTTAATATAAAAATGGAATAGTTCTTGCCTTTCTGTTTCAGGTAGTTTCTACAGCTGTTGAAAGAAAACAAGCTAAGCCAGCAGTCTGGCACAGAGGGAACACTGGCACACGGCAGCACTGCTGATAAAAGCTGCTTTTAGAGCTGGTGAATGCAGCACTATTGTAGTGACATTTACCAGCTAAAACAGGGAAAGCCTAGCTCATGGCTTCGCTGGGATTAAATGTCAGGCCACTGGTTGAAACAAAAATTAGTAAAGCAGAAAACTTGCAGTTTTCCTCATAAATATGTAAACATGTATTTGCTGTATATCTTTAATGAACAAGTATTTGAGTACTGCTTATGTTCCCAAATTACAACAACCAAAGGGAAGACAGCCTAAGTACCCCTAAACTTAGTAGAAAGTGGAAAACTAATGTGAGATTTGCTTTGCATCAGAAACTTGTCAACACCTGCTGTTCTTCCTAATGACTTCCACAGCGCAGCCTTTGCCACCTAGACAAGAGCAGAAAGACTGCCCAGCTTTCTGGGCCTGGGCAGGCTTACGGTGTGGGAGTACTCATTGCTGCTGCAGGCTGATGCGCATACGTGAACTGCAGACTGCGCTGCTTGCCAGCTGTGGAGCTACCTCCTGCAGTATGGTT